GTGTTCATTGATTTGTGTGCATAGGATTTGAAATTTTGTAATATTATTTAAATTGATTCTTTCCCATCGTCCACTCAACCATTTCCCGATCCCCACACCCGTAACACCTTTTATACATAAACCATTTAGGGGTAGAATTAGTTGGACAGATGATTGAATAGAATCGTGAGACTGAAAGCCATCGTACACTGTGGATTTCTAAAAAGGGTTTATGTGGGGTCTGGATAATACTGTGTGGGAAGAGAGAACAAAGTAATACATACGCGGAAATAGATGAAGAGCCTGGAGACAATCTGGAGAGAGTCAACTAAATTAACCTGCTCAGTTTACGAACATGCCAACCCTATACATCCAATCAGCACAAATAAACAGTATGAGTTATATGAAGGTAACAACACCTAGCAAAAAAAAAAAACGGCAAAAAACAAAAGAACAAAAAGACGAGACATGAACAGGTTTTAAATCAACTCATGCATTCAATCATATAAAAAATAATAATGATAAAATATAATATATATATATTGACCAGTGACACATACATATATGATATATTTATATTCAAATATATATATATATATATATATATATATATATATATATATATATATATATATATATATATATATAGGCATATATATATATATATATGTATATACACACACACACACACACACACATATATATATATATATATATATATATATATATATATTGACAGGTGAAAACCATGTATGTATATATATATATATATATATATATATATATATATATATATATATATATATATATATATTGTACAATTGAATTTTGGGGATAATAAAGCAGTGCTTGATATAAAATAACAGAACTAAAATTTAAAGTAAGTATATATATGCATGTGTTGCTCTTCGTTTGTAGCAACTCCGAGTTTCATGCACATGGCAATCGTATATATATATATATATATATATATATATATATATATATATATATGAATAAAGAAAAACGGAAAATAGTATTGATATTGTCTTTTACATATATTTTTATCTATATTTGAACTATATATATATATATATATATATATATATATATATATATATATATATATATATATATGGCTAACTGGAGCAGGAAATGGCTTGTAAACGTTAATGCCTCTAAAACGAACTTGATCTCATTTAGCCACAATAGAGAACCCTTCCTGCCTCCCACCAGAATGGCTGATTCCCAACTCCAAGTGAGCGCCTCCTTGTGCCTGCTTGGTCTCTAGCTTTCCACTCTCCTGAGGTGAAACAACTACATTGAATCAATAGCTTCATCCATCGCAAGGGAATTTCGTCCTCTGTGTCGCTCCAGAAGGTTTTTCTCGCCTGAATCCATTCATATAAATCTACCAATCAACCATTCGTCTTTGCATTCAATACTGTTGCCATATATGGAATGGTGCCTCCGCTGTTGACGGATATGCAATGTGATAGGTCCTAAATGGCATTTCGTCTACAGTCACTCTCTCACAGACGTGCTGTGGCTTCCCCATGTCTTTTCTACAAGTATTTTCATGACAACTGCTCTGACGAGCTACTTTCACTGGTTACCAAACTGCATCAATTTAAGTGTGCTACTATGGTGTCATCTCAGTCCCACCCTTCGCTTATCAAACCATTAAATGTAGCCGCGTCTCTACTATTCCAACATCTTCTTCTTTCGCATTTCCCGCCAGTGAAACTCCCTTCTTTCTACTTGATTCCCTGATAGCTATAATCTTCAAATATTCAAATGTCATTTAAGGATTCAAAGATCTTCATCTGCCTGCTATTTGTTCTATTATAGGTGATTTTTGATGATTTTATTACCTTTTTAATGAAGTAAAATCAAATTACTCAAGTTTATATGATTTGCTTAATGACTAACACACACACACACACACACACACACACACACACACACATATATATATATATATATATATGTAACACCCCTTGTAAGCTCCGTGCAATTTCTCCGGTGGCCGTTCTCCACGCTGTGATGTTGCCGGGGGTTGGTTGAAAAAGTCGAAGTCTCAAGCTGGGGGCACAAGATAAACCATTGAAGGAACGAACTTCCACAACTTAGATGAGTTTAATCAACGCTTTATTTTGTTCAGACTTAGTCTTGCCGTTGGGGTAGGCGATGTGATACTCAGCTCTAACTCTAACTAATGGAGATCAAATGCCGAACCGACCGACTCAGACGAACGGAGTTTCACTTCTTCCGTGTGCCTGACACACGTGGCTACTTCAAGCACACGCCCGGCTGAACTGCTCGGCTTGGAAAAATCACTTGTATTTATATTGAAATAATCGGAAGTCCACTAGACCACCGGGTGAAAACAAAAGATAAGCATTGGCGACTGTAAGTTCAAAATTTCAAGGTACTTAAATTTTGCTTCCTTTGATGTGTAAAAATCCTGCGGACATCCCGTCTACACTCGACCTCCAACGATGTATTTTCCAGGATTTTTTTTTATCTTAACAAATCTTCGTGTGAAGGCCGTCGGATGTTTTTATAGCCCCGGCACTTTCTCACTAGCCAGGTTTTTTTTTTCTTTCCTTTTTTTTTTATTGCCTGGAGAAAGGGAAAATTCCGTTATCTTTTCTTTATTTCCTTAATGTGTTGTCGAGATGCAGTAAAGACTGTTTTTGACCTGGTCATCTAAAATCTATTTCCTAAAATTTTATCTTTTATCACATCAAATCACTTAGTCAAATATTTTATTGGAAGACTGGTAGGATTTAACAGTAATCTGAGGCCCTTTTCTCTTCCACAAACTTATAAAAGAAAAAGCGTTTATTTATTTATTTTTTCTTTTCTTTTTCCCTTAGTACTTTTGTTAAACGAAACATGTTTTAAAACTATTTTTCTATTCTTAACCGTTTTCTATTCTTAATTTATTAAAATAAAATACATATTTTACAAATCAACCTTAATATACGCCTAGTTATCGTGTCACACACACACACACACACACACATATATATATATATATATATATATATATATTAAAACTGCTGTTTTAATTGTCAACAATAATAACTCAACTGCATGATTCAAATTACAGAGAATCGATATTATTTACGAAATCACATGTTCCTTAAGGAACTGTGTTCCTGATCAATCCAAATTTGTAAATAATTATATTGCATATACTACAACATGCCTAACAAGAAGACTCGTGTTACTTCTCTCTGACCATAACACAATTAGGTCTCATTTAAATACACATGGAGATCTACCAAACTGTATCATTTACATACTTGTTGATAATACAAATATAACAGCATCCTTCACATGTACAATAAGGCGAAAAATAATGGAAGCATTATTATTAAAAAATGAAAAACAGCACTCAATAATATCAAATATGATCACGGGCACACTGTGCTAACCGTGTTCGGATAATAAGACAGTCTTATAACTATAGATGCATACATAAAACTTCGATTACGGGACCACAATAGTCTCAACTACGCATGAGCAGAAAGCAATATTATGGCGAATGTGTGAATAATTTTTGGCTTAACTTCGTGTATATATATAGGGGGAGAGAGAGAGTTATTAGATAATGCGTAAATCATATATGTATTCTGATAACAAGTCTATCTGTCCAGACAGGAAGCTTTATTATTTGTCAGCTGTGACCTCTGACGGTTAAAAGAAAACTTCAATATATATTTTTACCAATATATTTTCTCAATCTTTCTCTCTCTTTCTTATCACAGTCTTAATGCTCCCTTTTATCCAGCTTTCTCTACTCTCCTCTCCTCTCTCTCTCTCTGTCTTTTCTCTCGCTCTTTTACTCATTTCTTCTTATTTATCTTCCTCTTTCCCTTCCCTTATCCTTTTTTTTTCTTTTCTTTCCACCTATTTTCTCTTCTTCTATTTTCCCTCTCTCCCTTGGGATAACACAAACCATAAATGTATATTTCTAGTTCCAAGCACGTCAGACTATAAACATTATTGTTCGTCACAAATGAAACATTTTCCAGAATATTCGATCGAGTTTTATTTTACAGATAAAACTCAATTGTCCTCGAAGAAATCTCCAAATAATACACAATCGTTGAGAGACCACAATTCGAATACTAACCTTTTCGGCCAGATATTTTAACTGAACTTTTGAAAATATCAATATCTAAGTGACTAATATGCAAATACATTTATACATACATTAAGGGAACAAGAGATTCTTATAATTACAATCTCTACCCAACCGTTCTTCCTACAAGTACTAAACGCAGTTTCTTTGTAAATATATCAGCTCTACATATATGATTATTTAAAAAGTTTTTAAACGCTTTCTATTCTATTTACTTCGGTCCAATGACAGTAGTGGTGACTTTCTTCATTTGCTTTTACGCAATCGACCAAATCTTTTTTCAAAGGTGGGGGGGCAGACTTCAGATCAGATGATCAAAAACATGCAGATGTATGATGTTTTCAATAATGTTAAAATGACACAAGGCCCAAGAGCCACTCAATGTAGATGGTAAGACCCACAATAGGATATCTGGGTAAGATAACGAATAACTCTAGACAAGATTGTAGTGATCGGGAAAGTATTCATTTGGGAGTTGGTTCCACAAAGTAGCAGTACTTGAGAAGAATCTACTCTAGTGGAACTTACATCACACCGATGGAATATAAAGTGAATAAGGGCGGTTCAATACAATGTGAGCAACATGGCGGGTCTTAACTGTGAAGGGTAGAACAGGTGGATTTATTGAATCATTGATTGATTTGTTTTTTACGGCTTATCAACTTTTTGCAGGGGATGTAAAGCCGGAAAATACTTTTAGATTGTAAGAACGTTTTGGAGATAATAATGATTTTTACTGATACAAGTTCTACTAATTAACCCATAGCTGTGGGGAGAAGAGGAAGTTTCATACCTTTCCCAAGCGTATTTACGTGTAAGAATATAACGAAAACGACTTGAATTCCAATTCCGAGCCGTTATCTATTACACCAGCCTCACATCCAAGCTTACAGCACTTGGCATTCTCAAGCGGTCACCCGTCTAGGTACTGACCAGGCTCGACGTTGCTTATCTTCGGTGATCCTGCGCGGACCGGTGTTTTAATCTCATATTACCGTAAGAACACAACTGGCGGAGCTATAATGACACACACACACACACACACACACACACACACACACACACACACGCATATATATATATATATATATATATATATATATATATATATATATATATATATATATATATATATATATATATATATATATATTTTTATTTGTGTCAATCTGACATAATGGCAAATATAATAGACAATGTGACAAATGTTTACTTTAAGATGTTTTACAGGTGAACCTACGTCACCAATTTGATTTTTAATTTAACTCTTTCGCTATAGAAATGAAATTGTTAACCTATTCTAATTTTTATTTTATTTATTCAACAACCTGAGGGGAAAAAAAAGTAAATTTAAAATATTTATAAAATTCTTCACAAACCTATTTATTTCATCATCATCATCAGCAGCAGCAGCAGCAGCAGCAGCATTATCAGCATCCCCTTGACTTTTGTAATCGAAGTGGGGAGGCCCGAATGCAGAAGCCACACTGAAATTCCTCCACAATAGTCTATCAAAAGCAGCCATCAGCAATTCTGGTATTGTCATACCTGTCCATACTTGACATTGTCCAAGTAGTTTTTACTTTGGTGTCCTCTTCTATGTCTACCTTCAACGGTGTCTTGCATGATAGTCTTGCATATACCATGGTGCTTTGTAACGTGTCAAAGCACGCCATTTTTCTCCGTTTGACAGTGGCGAAAAAAGATTCCTGATGGACCAGAAAACTTTCAACCGTTTTCCGCACAAACTCATTGTTTTTATGTTCCCAGTAGATATTTCCAAGGAGTTTTCTCATGCATTTCTTCTCAAACGTTTGGATCTTTCTCCCTGTTTATGCCAACAGTGTCTACTTTTCACATCTATATAAGAGAATGGAGAATACCAGCGATTCGTACAGTCTGTACTTTGTTTGAAATCTGATTTTGCTCCTCTATATTCTTGCCAACTTGGCAATTGCAGCCATGGATGCGGCAATCATTTATTTATTTTATATACAACGCTAAAGGAAAAGCATACAAAATCTACAAAATGAAATACAAAAGAGAGTTTTGTTATTCTTTGGATAAGAGAAATTTCCACAATTCTCATCCTAGACATTGTACACACACACACACACACACACACACACACACATATATATATATATATATATATATATATATATATATATATATATATATATATATATATATATATATGACAATCAGAAAGTGGTATTTACTGCTTGCCGATGCGTTTCGTCATCCGACTTTATCAAGGCAAGTGATATTGAACAAAAGCGAAATGTTGTGTATGAAACCATAAAGTTATATAACGCTGGAACAACGCAGGATTTTCTGAAACCACTTATTATACATGTAGCATGATTCTTCAAATAATGGATTGACTGAAAAGAATAGCGGATCGAAATTAAAATGTTTTGACAAAGTTTTGAACGATTAAAAGTTCGCTGTGTACTTTGACAATGGAGACAACGGAATAGACAGATACTCATGTGTAACTAGGAAATATTGCAGCTCTGGTTCCAGATTCACCGCAATCGAGCAATTAACAAAATAAAACACGTTATAATCATTTTTATTTTCCGATACGTGTGTAGTGAAATGGAGGGGAAGGCCAATGATAACAATATATTTTAAATGTTAAAACGAGACTTAATCGTTCATATTTAGCATTACAATTTTCGTCAGCTACTCTCGGTAGGCGCGACCCCCTAGCCTTCATCCGAAACGTGGACATTACATTCTTGTCTGAGATGTCTGGGAGACTCCAACCCATCTCCTTATTTAGTGTTTTAAAACATCGTGTAACACGTTTCTTTTCAACTCATTCAATCCGGGTGCAGTTGGTAAGTCATTATATGGCAATCTTGCACCTGGCTTCTCTGACTACAAAAGGTTTGCAAAGGATATGATGTGAGGTGATACACATGCTACATATATCAATGTTATGTATACTACACTATACTTAACTATGTTAATAGTGAAATAGTTTGAGGTTTGATAAAAAAAAGAATAGCAACGAACCTAGAAAATATTGCTACCAAAATGCTACACAACGTGACCAATTCCTTAGCAAATGGGCCGTAAAATTGCCATAAACTTTTTAAAGAATGTAATATCTGTGAAGGAGAACTGTAGTAAATCTGGATGAAAACTTTAATGAAAGCAGGAGTCTTAAAGCAGCTAGGTTTCATTTTACAGCTGAAATTGGTAGATGTAGCCGCAAGTTCTATGCTAAAAGTGTCTTCGCTTCTGGGACTTTCTTCTAGCTTTTGACTTTCCAGTCAACTTTGATTTTCAAATATTTAAATGCAATGCTAGTCGTCGATCTTCTGTGACCGTGAATCCTGTTCTTTTATTTCCTCTCTCCTGAATAATGATTTTTCTCAGATTCTTTCACTGTCATTAACTTTCGTTTTAGTCGCTTTATTCCCTTGTTCGGGGTGAAATAATTAAAACAAATCTGAATGAATTGTGGTTATTATTTATTTACTTTTTGAAAGAGGAATTTTCGTATATATGGAATTTGATAAAGCCTATACCGAATTCCTGAAAACAAAATTGGCAGATTTTTCTGAGCTGACACTCCTCGACAAAAAACAAAACAAAACAAAAAAACAATTGTTTAATAGAAAACTATGCTACTTACAATGGGCTAATTTCTTGATTTTATATTCCCTCTGAGATAAGCCAAATTCGCATCTTTTGTTTTCCTGGAAAATTCCCTGGAAAATAAAAATGTCTTTTATATTCATTTCATTAAAAAATGAATTGCAAAAAGTACAATGTCATTCGCCTACAGTTTTTAATGCATTTTAGAATATTGTTTTAAATCAGGTGTTTCGCAGTGGTATCATCGGGTATCTTCATCAAATGTCTAGGATCTACAATCCTGAATATTGGTCTGCATGAGTCCATAAATACAATCACATGCACCAAATTAGGAAAGGACAAGAAAATGTCTTTAGAAACAAAAAAATAAGTGCTGAAAAGTTATTTAATATCTAAACTGCAATATGTCAGTGAATACTTGACAGTTTCCTCACAGATGAAACAGTATTTCTTATTTTATTATTCGTGTATCAAGTGACGAATAATAAAAATATCATAAACAGAAAATATGAGTAATGAGGAAGTTTTATGGAAACTAGGAACAAGAAAATCCTACTTGCAATCAGAACGAGACAGTTGACATATTGGGGATATATAATGAGTAAAAGACGTCCTGAAGAACGGGATGTGCACTGGACATTTTGAAAGCGATAGAAGAAAAAAAAAAAAAGAAAATGAAATCGAAAATTCAGAAATTAGTCACTGTATTAAATGGCAGGAACTTACTGAGAGCTATGATCGTCCATGTCTTAAAATGTCATGGCGTAAAAAGATGATCCTGATTTTTAAGCATCTTCCGTGATATAAATAAATGTTTTTCTTTTAGATCATTCATATTTTATTTACATCTGCATCGTATTTTAAGCACTGTGGAATTGAACAACTAAAAAAGCTTTTTCCACTTGATATTCATTTCGAAGAAGTTTATAATTCTTTCTATTATTTAAACTGATCTTTCTCTTGTTGGTGTCAAGTTTCTTTTCACTTTGTTCAAACAACTCGTCAAATTCTACAAATTGGCAGCTGTTTATTTTAAAGAGACAAATTAGAAGATGAGTTCATCATTTTACGACATCATTGGGAGATTATCTGCGACCATATTTAGAAAAAATTACGCCACGTATTTAAATAATTTGATTTGTTAGATGTATATTTCTGGAAGCCAGACTGTTCAACTATTAAATGAAAATTTTATTGTCTCATAATTTTTATTCCTTGTGAAGTAAATTAGCTGAGTGAATTTTCTCTAAATGTATTAATTACATCACTTTTGCCATCCTCAGTTTACACGCACGCACACACATACACACACACACACACACACACACACACACACACACACACACACACACACACACACACATATATATATATATATATATATATATATATAACCAGTGGCAACGTCTATTACATGGCCTGATAATTGCGTTTAAGAATATAACGGAATATATATATATATATATAGAGAGAGAGATAATATTAGTGGAAAATATACATACACATGCAAAATATATAAATATATAATAAAAAGGCTTAAACACTAATATTCCATGGTCATAATTTATTCCATTTGAATCGTAAATACGATCCAATTCATCAGACCTACAAATTCAAAAAGAAAACAGAAAAAAAAACATCCCCGGAAATAAAAACAGAATTTAGAGAAAGTGTAAGTATGAGGAGGAGGGAGATTAAACCTTAACAGAGAGAATTTTAGGAGAGATGGGTGAATGGGGTTGAATTAAGAGAAAATCCATCAACATTCATTTTTTCTCTTAGTTAAACCCCTTAGCACACCTTAAAATATATATTTCTTATATATATATATATATATATATATATATATATATATATATATATATATATATATATATATATGTGTGTGTGTGTGTGTGTGTGTGTGTGTGTGAGACCGTAACATACGTACAACATGGACAGTTCAGGACTATATAAAGTAAAGAGGAGGAAAGAGAGACGAAGAGTATTCTAATACCGTTGTATCAGCCGCGTACGACTACCAATATTGGACACTAGCACATAGTAAGCTCCGCTACACTTACAATATCTTTGTAACCTTTTTGTGTAATATATCTTTCTTGCCTCTAATCTGTGTTCCGTGTTTTCCATTCGTGGTCCCAACTTTGGGCCCACATCAGTGGCGACGAAGAATTCGAGAAACGCACTCACGCCGAAACCTCAATACCTTACCAGTCCCACATCAAGTGGCGACGAAGAATTCGAGAAACGCACTCACGCCGAAACCTCAATACCTTACCAGTCCCACATCAAGTGGCGACGAAGAATTCGAGAAACGCACTCACGCCGAAACCTCAATACCTTACCAGTCCACATCAAGTGGCGACGAAGAATTGAGAAACGC